AAGGCAGTTTGAAGGGGAGAAAGGTTCAGTCTCATCCAAGCTAGTCCGGACAGATTCTCATTTAGCAGATCAACCCACGCTAGAAAAGATTGCCCTGGATGTGTTTCTCCTCTCCTTGTCCGACCAACATGTAAGCATACATAATATAAATCATTTTGTATGGATACAGTAAGAAATACTTTGAGCTCATAGAATTGCTCTCCTAGGGCCATCTCAATCTCAGACTGCAGTGCTCAGGCCAGATATCTTTCCTATTCCTAGCAGCAGGGTCCTAGTCACGTCATTACTTTTGGATCATGACAGCATTTGCTTATGATCAAACTCTTAACCTATAGTTAAGAATCGTGGCACCTTGGTCTGGCCCATCGAGATGCCAGGGTAGCACATAACTTACCGGCTTGCCCTGGTTCCATCCAGTGCCATGTCGGGACCCTGCCCTTGAGGTGCTAGGAAGTGAGGGCAACTGAGGCTTAAGTTGAGAAAGCAGATGCCCGGTAGTGAATAATATCCAAAGCCTATAAATCCTAAGTTATAAAGCATAATATTAATTAATTGTCTTCCTGTATCTATACAAAAAGGACATTGCATTAAAGTAAATTCAAAAGACATGAGGAGAGGAGAAAGGCAACATTAACTTACAGTTCAGTGTCCTAGAAGGATGAGACCTTACAAATTGGTTGGGGAAGAGAGCATAGAAGTGGTAACAGACAAAGTAATGGAAATGACTCAGGAGCACTGTGACGGGTGCAACCTGATAAACCTAAGCTCCGTGTACTCCAAGAACTAGGATTTGAGCGAATGATAAAAAAAATTCTCAAATAAACAGCGGCTGAAGAAATTTGTTCCATATAAATAAGTTCTGCAAAGGAAACTGATCTACTTTTTCTAAAATGTTGAATGACGAAATTTGCATGGAAAAATAGCAAAAGATTCATTCATCTCACAAATTTCTGTAAATGTCCATGGGCTGAAAATACTCTTAAAGTTTATATGGGGTCCACACCATCCATCTTGCCAGAAGAAGAACAGCTCAAAACCACATCTTCAAAAGAACGTGACACCACTAAATCTCTCAAGGCAGACTGGTCTGGGTTGAGAATGCAGGTCTCTCAAAATGGAGGAGGGCCGTTTCCCCTTTCTGCTTGACCACAGCAGTCTGCAACCATGCCCAACACTCTCCAACACAGAAACGGCCCATTGCTTCTTGGCCTTTGGGCTAAGATCAAGTGTAGCAACATAGAAATGGCCCAGCTCCACAACTAAGTCTCATCTCACTGCCAAGCCACCAGGTCTATAGCTCCGAAACTACATAGCTGCGACACTTAAAAATTTCATAGCACTGTCAGCCCAGGAAGATCACAGAAAATCTGACTGGAAAGTTTCACAGAAGACCACCAAGCTCAATGTAGCTAAATAATAACACAGGAGGCTCCACTAGTACTAACTAGCACACTAGATACTTAGATAATGACTTTAATAACATCACTGTGAGCTATAACAATTATCACAAGTTGACTCTCATTGATATAAGATTTGATAATTTCATTTGCCTTTGTAGTTTAATAAAAACATAAAGTAAATGTATTTGTGCCTATAAGGGTGCAGGCTGTGGTGCTGGAGGGGGAAACTGAGGGCACTGGTGATGGGATTGGTGGTGGGATTAGTGTTGGAACATTGAATGCCTGAAACAATGTCTTATGAACAATTTGGCAAGTCACAGTGTTATAATAAAAAATTTTAATTAAAAAACATTTAACTGCACCAGAAAAAAAACATGGAAGAGTAAACCCTGCCAAATAGCAAAAGTAATCTTTAAAAAAAAAAGTAAATGGAAGGCTTCTCTTTACCCAATGTTAAACTATACTGTAAAGCTATAAAAAAATTAAGAAAGTGGAATGAAGATTAACTCTCAGATCAGTGAGATAGAATCAAGATCCAAGAAACAGACCCTTAGGTATATGGTCAGTTAATCTTTGATAAAAGATCTAGAAGTGTGGAGTAGAGCAAAAAAACCTCTTTAACAAATGGTATTGAGTAAACTTGTCAGCCACAAGTAAAGCAATAAACTCAGATCCCTTTCTCCCACTATGCACAAAATTCAATTCAGATGTATTAGAGACCTTGATTACTGTTAAAATTTACATGATAACAGTATCTTTTTGTATCAGAATTTTATGGGGGCCATAAAGATATTATAGGGGCTAAGAAACTCACCTGTATGCTGCCAGCCCTGATTCAAAGTTTTAAATCCCCAGTACTGTATATCTGGGGCTGGAGCGATAGCACAGCGGTAGGGCGTTTGCCTTACAAGCGGCCAACATGGCTGACCCGAGTTCGATTCCTCCGCCCCTCTCGGAGAGCCCGGCAAGCTACCGAGAGTATTCGATATGCCAGATACAGTAACAACAAAGTCTCCAATGGAGACGTTACTGGGCCCTCTCGAGCAAATCGAAGAACAACGGGAGGGCCTTTACTTTACTTACTGTATATCTTACCCCAGAAAGCACCAGGAACAATCCCTAATCACTGAAGCCCTGAGTTAGATGTGGCTCAAATACCCCTCTCCCAAAGAATCCTGTTAACCGTTAAAAGGTAGCAGCAAAACACTTCACGGTGTTGGTTTCAGTAGTGTCCATAGTGACTCAACTCCATTGTCTAAAAAAAAGCAAAACTAGATAAATAGAATTACATAAAACAACAAAGCTCTGCCCTGGAAAAGAAACTCTCATATTAGAAAATCCACACCGTAGGGGTCAGACACCATACATGTTCCCCAAGTACTGCCAAGCGTGACTCCTGAGCATTATCAAGTGTGGCCACAAAACAAAAAAAAAACACTTCTTCAAAGAATACATGCATACAAATGGCCAAGAGATACATAAAAAAATATTTCTAACATCACTGAGTAGTAAATTTTTGAAGACAAATCAAAATGACAATGAGACATCACCTCACACAAATGAATAGCCTAGCTTTTATCGAAAAGACCAGAAACAGCAAGTGCGGAAAGGGATTGAAAAAATAATTATCATTCACCTTTAGTGGGAATTTAATTCATAGTTTCATCCATAGAAATGAGTGCAAAGATATCTCAAAATATAAAATAGAAATACCCTATGATTACGAACTGTAATCTAGATATCCATCAAAATCACACAAAAAAGTGTTAATCTGAAAAGATGTGTGCACATTTGTGTTCATCGCAACACTGTTTATAACAGCCAAGATCTGGAAACAACCCACAGTGCCTCGTCAGAGAGGAGTGCGTAAAGAAGTTAAGGTTTATATGCACAATAAAATTCTACTCAGCTCTAAGACTTAAAATTTTTGCCCTTTGCTCCAACATGAATGGAACTGAAGGAGTCATGCTAAGTCAAGTAAGTCAGAGCAAAAAAGATAACAAGGTGGTCTCACTTCTAATCAAACCAAAGGAGAGGAAGACGGAATGCCCACTGAAAGCAATCTCTTAGACTCTGACTACTGAGCTGAGGCTACCAAGGTGTAGCGATGGAGTCAGGCCAGGTGCCAAGGGGAATGGGCTGAAATAGTCACTGGACTGTGGGGAAGGAATAGTGACACTCAGTGAAGAGCAAGTTGTGGTAACAATGTACTTCTAAAACACAGAAGCGGCAGAAGGCATCTCTCGCTGCGGTGCACATTTTGCAGCGATTTGCAGTGTGAACTGTGTATATGTTCTATTCATTCTACTCTAGTTTTTTATCCTTTGAAGAGTAGGAGTCTCTGACCAAAAGGGAATTATCAGGAATAGGACATTAGTTGTATTTAAATTACTTGTTAGTCTAGTTTCTTACAAACATGTTATTTTTTCACACACCTACATCAGTGGCCTGATAGTCTGTCAAACACTATAATATGCTTTTTATTCAATTACATTCTAATGGATACCTATATTAAGATAATAAGGAACCAAAAAACTCTAAGAATTGTGTAATTTGCTTTATATTGCAATGGGTTTTATTTATTTGCTTCGTTTTGAGCACCTCTCCTCGTGGTGCTCAGGGAACTACGTGGGTTGCTGGGGATCCAATCCGGTTGGCTACATGCAGGGTAAAAACCTTACTCTCTTTACAATCTCTCCAGCACCTCCCTAGATGTGTTTCTGGTAATGTGATTCATAATCTTCAAAAAATTGCTACTTTTTATCATTGTCAGTTTACAAAGAGATTTTCTATGACTCTTCGCAGTTCAGAGAGAGCCTGAAATATTATGTCAAATATAATGTGTTCCTGAAGGTAAAATAAATGTCCACTGGAAGCTTATTTCTGGTAATGGAAAATTGGAGATATATTTTCTCATTTGCAAAATCTGTTTTATGAAGACAAAGCCCATGCTGCTTTTCTCTCAAGTCCAAGGATATATGGATCATCTATAGTAAAAGGCCCGAGTTCACCGGGCCTTTTTTGGTAACTATAGCTAAAAGTACTGCATCTGTCTTTTTGTGTGTTTTTGTTTGTCCGTTTCCTTGTATTACAATGATTGGTGACATTTCTACATCAAACTTTTAAATGAAGAAACTCTGGTAGCCAAATTTGTATCCCCTTCACAATTTTTTGAATTTATCAAGAAATTGATGGCTTTGATTGGTACAGAAATTAGCCTCCATCTTTTTAAATTAAACTATTACTTCAACAAGAGAAATGGAAAGTCACCATGATCTCTGACTTCTAGTGATCATCCACACACCCCATTTCTTTCTTTCCCTCCAATGAAGAAAATGCAGTCACTGAAAATGATGCCCTTTATTTGGAACCGAGGCGTAATCAATTGTATAGTATATCATCAGGACAGTGAGCAAAGACTCAATGTCCACTGTGTAAGTCATGTATCCTTGGACAACAGCCCTCAAGTGTCCAATGGCATCACTGCAGGGCATGAAACTCAGAGACAAATTAGTTTTAAGGGGCTTGAAAGGAGAAAACTGAGGTAGACATAGGGGAAAGGTATTCTGAGAATGAAGAAGAGGCAGCAAAGGTAGGCTCTCACAATTTCTTGCAGCTCCACTGGTCCAGCTTCTCAGAACAGAGTGCCTTATGAGCCAACCTGATAAAAGAGAAGGTGACAATGAAAATTGAGTCATTATGGTTTAACACAATCTTATATCGCTCTTTATTCCAAGAAGTGCTGAGATGGAAGAGTATAAAGCAACAAGTAAAGAAAAACTCATCTAGCCAAATGAGACCCTAAGCTACCCAGTGGAATTGTTTCCTTGCTTATTTCTTTGTTTTTGTTTAATTGCTTATTTTTGTTTTGGTGCCACACCTAGCTATACTCAGGGCTTACTCCTGGCTCTGCACTCAGGGATTAATTCTGGCAAGTCTCAAGGGACCATATGGGATGCCAGGGATCAAACAGTGGTCAATCATATGCAAGGCAAGTACACTATTCACTGTACTATCATTCCAGCCACTGGTCCATTTTTAAATCCAAGAAAATTGTGGCTCTAGAGTAGATATATAATGTTCCAATACTCTTGGCTCTAAGTCAAAACAAGAATAATTATATATCCAAGATCAGATAACAAGAAGCCTGAATTTGTCTTATTAGGAAACCCTTAAGTTACTAAAAAGAATGGGAGAAGGGAATTTTAAGAATTGGAAAACGATAGCTGATCAATTAGTTTTATTTTGGAAATATTCTAGATTAGATGGCAGGAAGCAGAAAGAATTAATCGGTGATAATGGGTGAAGGGAAGAAAGTTAAAGTACAAGTAAAAAGTAGGGTGGTAACTCACCAGTAGTCAATTCCTTTCCTATCAAGGATCTTCTTGACACACATCACATCATCAGTCAGGTCATCATCCAGGAACTCTGGTGGGAATTAAAGGGGGAAATATGAGAGCTAATTATTACCTTAAAACAAAATAAGTTTCGCTTTTCCCTAGATTTAGTAACCTGGTCCTTCTGTGATGGAGACTTATGGCTGAAGCTTTTCTATATGAGAAAAATGATGCCTCCCCACTGGATAAGGGACTCCCTTAATTTTCCGGAGGCTCCCTCAGAGGAATTAGCAACTTTCTCAACTGAGTCACTCTGAAGATGTAGATATCAATCTTCAAGACTTCCAGACAACTCAAAGCATCAACTTTGGGGGACTATGTCGGACAGGGGAAAGTGGGAGGATTTGGCTATATCCAGCCGTGTAAAGCAAATAACTTCCCTTGCACTATCTCTCTAGTCCTGCATAAGATGATGAAAAATTCTCACACAGTACTGCTAATTCAAGGATCAAAGTTGATATGGAAGTTGACATGGAATTTAAGGTAGTAAATCTCCTGTGTATTTTCTTGAAAAGGAGGTTAGCCCAGGGGTAAGTGCTAGAAATAGAGGAGAGGCAATGTGTCAAAGTTACTGGAACTTACTCTGACAAGAGATGTTGCATATGTTCTCGGACTCAGGGAACTTGTTATCACGACACCAGCTTTTATTACTGATCTGGAAGAGTCCATATTCTGTGCTGCCATTATTATTAAGTACAGTCTGTGAGTCATAGCCACTGATGTGAAATATAACACAGATCACTGAGGAAGAATAAGAAAGAGGTATTATAAGCATGTTCAGATGCAGCATAAGCGATGACCTTTCTATATTCCTAGAAACAAAAAGACTCTCTTGAAAATCTTCAAATATGACAAAGCTTAGATTATTTTATGACATCAAGAGGGCTCAAAATTGTATCAACCAATGGAAGAAAATAGATAAGAAAATAAATGTAATAAAAAAATGAACAGAGAAGAGAAGGAAAAAGGATTATTGGATAATTAAATGAAAGTAGAAGGGAAAGTGGAAGGAAAGAATAAGGAGAGAAGATGGAGAATGGGAGGGAACAGTGCAGCAACGAACTTACGTTCTTGTAGAGTGAAATCATAGTCACTCAGGCCTGACAGCTCCCGGTACAGCTCACATTTTGTAAATTGCTTGGCTTGGATTGCAGGGAACAGGATGCCCGTCAGGAGCAGAGGGACAAAGTACATCATTTTGGCTACCCGAGGAATCTGAATGGTATTGCCACTCAACTTCCCCCTTCTTTTATTTGTGGAGAAAGTCTCTAAGGTTCTCTATCAAGTCCTGTTTCCAGGAAAAGGAAGAAAAGGGATTGGTCAAGCCAACAGAGAAACACTGAGACTGCCAGCTTCCTTCCATAACTTCCTTCCACTTTTCCTTCCTCTTCCCCAATCTGTCATCCATACAAGGTATTGTTCCAGAGATAGTTCCAGGCACAAGCTTATTTCCCTTTGGCTTTATTTATACCTTTATTTCTTATAGTGTTGTTTCTAGGAAACATGATGCCCTAAGCCTACATCAGGAACAATAGATGCTTCAGGCATAAGACAAGGCAATCAAAAAATATAATAAAGTTGTAATAGCCAACTCCTCCTTTCTTTAGAGACATACAAAATATGGGAATAGGTGTCTATCACCAGCAACCAAAAGTCCAAGGATCAGAAACAGCACTTGTCCCATCAACTCAGGTATAGAGCCAAGTCTAAGAAACAAATTAGGAAAAGAGATAGAGTATGGCAACATAGGCTGTGAGAATAAGATATATAACAGGAATCCAGAGGCATTCTCTTTCAGAGAAATGGAGAATTTGAAAAGTACATGTAACATGACCTAGTTAATGAGTGTTCCTATTAGACTCGCCATCTCTAACCATTATTACCACTAAATAAATAACCTAATAGTACTAACTGAAATATTGCATAAATCCAAGAACAATAACTTGAAATTGATTGGTTCATATGTGTAGAAGCTTAAAAAGAGCCTTCAGCTGGCTGAAAAGGTTATAAAGTTGCCAGGGTCAAACTGATAGCACGGACAGTGGATTAGTTGCTTGCCTTGCATGCAGCTAACCAGTGTTCTATCACCAGCAGCACATAAGGTCCCCTGTGCACCACTAGGAGTGATCTCTGAGCACAGATCCAGGTATAAACCTTGAGCATCACTAAATATGGCCCCCAAAACAAAAGGAAAAAAGAAAGTGACCCCAAAATTGGTGTGAACTTTAAGCACTTCAACGTTAGTTGAGGGTTTATATGGAGTTTATAAAACAAGTTTCAGGAGCTATAATTTAAGTGTCCTTTAACAAATAAAATTAGGTTATAAAAATTTGGGAAAAATACCCTTAACTTCCTGGCATTAAGTGTTTATCATGGTGCCAGTAACCTTTAGCCTCTTTCAAGCCAGGATTTATTCTTTTTCATACTAACCTAAAAGCCTGCTATTTTATATTGTGATTGAAATCCAGCCCATGGTGTTTAAGACAAATCAAAGAAATTCCAAATAGTTAAATCCCTCAACTTTTCAGAATCAAGGAAAGCTTCTCTCAGTTGACCCTGTCTTCGAAATATGGATAACCCATGCATAAAATAATAGGAGTTAAGTGAGCGTGGATGATCTTGATCTGTCAAACAAGATGAACAGGGAGTGCTATTAGGAAAGAAATGCTTAGAAACATCAAAAGTGCTGCCCCAGAATTTATTCTCAATTCCATCTTTTGACACTAGGGAGACACTCAACGAATAGGATAGCCACTTTATCACAGGTAGCAATTATAGTTAGAGTTATGGCTGGGAGTGAGAGCATGACTTTGAAACATGTAGGACAGGAATGGAATTTCTTTTAATTTATCAAGGCACCACAATTTACAAAGTTATACAGTTGAGTTTCAGGCATACAATTTCTCGACACTAATCACACCACAGGTGTCAACTTCCCTCCACTAATGTCCCTAGGTTCCCTGTAATTCCTAAATTCACCTCTTTGACAGGCACATTTTTAAGTTTGGTTGTTGTGGTTTAAATCTCGTTGTTCAGTTCTGTTGGTTATATGATTCAGATACATAGATTTATCACAGATATCTATGGCCAATGTCTCTATGACTCCTGTAATCGACCCCTCTACCTCCCTCTTCTTACTTCTTACTCCCTCTCACTCTGTTTCTCTCCTTCCCTACCTTTCTCACGTCTACCATGTAAGTTGCAGAATCATATAGTTATCCCTCTTTTGGTACCTGGCATTTCCTTGCTATGTTATTTCATAAAGAAGAGATAAGAGAAACCATATGATATTTATTTTTCTTCTTCTGGTTTACTTTGTTTAACATGATAACCCTCCAATTCCATGCAAGTTGGAGCAAATTACAAGGAGCATTTTTTCCTATTTTAAAAACTAGTGCTGTGACTAGTTCTTTCAATAGTGGGATTTGTGTGTGTGTGTGTGTGTGTGTATGTGTTTGTGTGTGTGTGTTGGGTTTGATGGTGGTTGGGTCACATCTAGCAACACTCAGGGGTTGCTCCTGGCTCTGCACTCAGGAATAAGTCCTGGAGGGTTTGGGAGACCACATGGGATACGGGGGATCAAATCCAGCTTGGCTGGCCAGTACTTTCTATCTCTCCAGCCCCAAACAGTTGTGGAATCGTGTATGAAAAACCTTGTGCCCTGAGCTATGGACTTAGGATTTGTGATGAATGAAATGGTGGCCCAGCATATTAGGAATCTTAGGGACATTGTATGTTCCCAGTTCAATCACGTTACGGCAGCAGTTTGCATGCCTAAATTTGCTTCTATCTCTGATCCTTCTTGAAACAACAAATAGACGCTAAAAACATTCTTTTTAAAGTGACGTTCAAGTCTCCATCACAGCTAAGTAGAGAAAATAAATGTGCCTCAGGCAAAAGGAAGCATTGTTCCATAGAAATGTAAGTAAAATAGCATATCTGGGAGTGAACTAAAAATATTTAATAGGAAAACTTACAAGAATTCAGAGAAAGATGTAGATTCATGGCGATTTACCAAAAGGGAACAGCAAACAATAATCACAATACTGAAAGAAGAATTGTGCTGAAAAATTCCTCCTTCACAGCTAATTGGAGGAAAGTCTCTGCCAAAATCTCCGTTTCCAGAAATGTTTTGTTAAGGTACTTTGTTTATAGAACAAGATCTGATGAAAACTATTTACAACATCCTGGATTTATCAGAAATATACCAGGAAGCTATGTTCAGAGTTACTCAATCCACTCTTTACTTGTGGGTTTCTATATATTAAGGAACCAGAAGGATTTGCTTTAAAACACAATTGGCAAGTTGTCCAAAAATATATTTTTGGGAAAGTTATAGTTTATGGGGACAACTATAATTCAAAGGGAATACCTGAGTGCCATGACAGTAGCACTAAAGCACTGTCCTCCCCTTGTTCATCAATTTGCTCTAGCAGGAACCATAAAGTCTCCATTGTGAGACTTGTTACTGTTTTTGGCATATTGAATATGCCATGGGGAGCTTGCCGTGCAGGTGGGATGCACTAGGTAGCTTGCCGGTCTCTCCGAGAGAGATGGAAGAATTGAACCTGGGTCGGCCGCATGTAAGGCAAACACCCTACCAGCTGTGCTATGCTCCAGCCCTTCAGTGGTAGAATTCTCACCTGCCACGTGGGAGGCCATGATAGCATTAATTATTAATTCTTATAGCTATTATCTATACCTAGGTTTATTTCCTGTTGTAATTCAGGGAAATATTGCCAAATAAGCAATGAAACTAGATGTTGGACTTGAAACTCCAATTTCAGCAAAATTTTAATTGATGTAAAAATTTATTTAAAAGCTAATGAGAATGCCATTAGTATTTTTCTTTTATGGTTGCTTGTTTTAAAGTGTTTTTGTAGCCACTTAGCACTAATGACTCACACTGGATCCATAATCAAAGAAGCTGATTGCAACTTACATCATTATTCTGAGTTACTATATTCTCTTTACCATTTCTATAATTACTTTCATGCTTAAACAAACCAGTGGGAAGAAACAGAAACACTTCCAAAAAGTTTCAATGAGGCAAATATCATGAGACCAAAATCAGAGACACCACAAAAAAAATAAGAGAATTACAGGCCAATATCCCTGATGACCACAGACTCAAAGATCCTCAACAAAATACTAGCAAATAGAATCCAACGACTCATCAAAAAACCATACACCATGACCAAGTGGATTCATCCAAGGATGCAAGGATGAATTAACATTCACAAGTCAGTCATCATAATGCCAATAATATAATGAATATCAATAAATATCAATAATACCATAGTACCAATGAAAAAGTATTAAAATCCCATATAATAACATCAATAGATGCAGAGAAAGCATTTGAGAAGATTCAGCACCCCTTTGTGATTAAAAAAAAATCTCAAAAAAATGGGAGTTGAAGGAAAAAAGCCATCTACTACAAGCCCACAAAAAAACATTATTTTCAATGGGGAAAAACTAAGAGCCTTCCCTCTAAGATCAGGAACTAAACAAGGATGCCACTCTCACATTACTATTCAATATAGTACTGAAAGCACTTGCCAGAGCAGTTAGGCAAGAAAAAAATATTAAGGGTATCCAGATAGGAAAGGAAGAAGTCAAGTTCTCATTATTTGCATATGAAATGACACAATACTTAGAAAATCCTATACTTAGAATAGTGAAATGACACTATACTTAGAAAATCCTCAACCTTTATGAAAAAGGTTCTAGGAAAAAATAGGTTTGTTTAGTAAAGTGGCAGGTTATAAAATAAGTATCCCAAATTCCATGGCTTTTGTATATACAAATAATGAAAGAGAAGAAATAGATATTATAAAAACAATCCTTTTCAAAGTTGTGCCTTAGAAAATCAAGTACCTTGGTATAAGCTTAACTCAAGAGGTGAAGGACCTATAAGGCTACCCACGACACTTTTCAAATAAATAGACAACACACCCCTGAAATTTAGATGGAACAATAAACCTCCACGAATAGCTAAATATTTGGGAAAGAGAAGATGGTAAGCATCACCTTCCCCAACTTCAAATTGTACTACAAAGCAGTAGTAATTAAAACAACATGGTATTGTAATAGAGACAGACCAACAGACCAATGGAATGGAGTTGAATATATTGGCATAGGTATATACAAATATACAGTCACTTAATCTTTGACAAAGAAGCAAGAAATGTGAA